TTTAAAAAAATCCCCAAAAACGAAAAAAAAAAAAATAAACTGGCCGGGCATGGGCTCAGCGCCGTGTAATCGGCCAGCATCTATTGGGAGGCGCTGAAGGGGCCAGGCGGATCACCTGAGGATCGAGGGAGTCGAGACCAGCGTGCACCAACATGGTGAAACCTGTCCCTCTTCTAAAAAAATAGACAATTAGCCCCCGGGCGGGGGTGGCACATGCCTGTAATCCCAGGCTATTCGGCCGGACGCTGAGACCGACAGAGTGAGACTCTGTCTCAAAAACAAACAAACAAAAATAACTCTCTTCCTCTACTTCCTTAGTGCTGATGTCTCCCTAACCTTATCTCAGCCCAGATGTTGCTCCCAGGATACAGGCCAGCAGCTCAACTGAGCTGTCCCAAACCAAGTGCTACTACTGCTCCCACCAACCTCCTGAGCACTCTGTCTTGGGAAGTGGGCTGTGGTGCAGCCAATGGGCTGTGCAAGAAGCCCTGACACCTCGCGAGCCTCCTCTTGGTCCCTAACTCAAGTCCAGTTAGTCACTAGGTCATAGAATTGTCCCTTTAATGTCCTTCTATGTTGGCACTGCCTTAATTCATTCAGGCTTTCCCCATTTCTTGCCCAGATGGTTGTCATCTTCCTGGAGACCTCATCTCATCCCTGTGGATCTGCTGCCAAAATGACCTGCTAGACCGTGAGTCTTGCAGGGGAGGGGATGTCTTATTCACCCTCACCTCCCTGGGTCCCGCCACAGTGCTGACACATAGAGGTTGCTCAACTATATGCTTTTTAGGCTGGGCACCATGGCTGACCCTTGTAATCCCAGCACTTTGGGAGGCTGAGGCAGGAGGACCTCTTGAGGCTAGGAGTTTGACACCAGCTTGGGCCACACAGAAAGATCTCATCTCCATTTAAAAAAAAAAAAAAATTAGTCAGGCGTGGTGGCTGTGATCCCAGTCACTGAGGAGGCTGAGGTGGGAGGATCGCTTGAGCTGGGGAATTCAAGCTTGCAGTGAGCTGATAGCGACACTGCACCTCAGCCTGGGTGACAGTGTGGGATGTGGGATCCTGTCTCTAAAAACAAAACAACAACAAAAACTATATGCTTTTTTTCTTTTTTCTTTTTTCTTTTTTTTGCTGAGAGAGGTACCTTTATGTAGAAAAAATTTCAGTCTTACAGAAAAGCTGCAAGAATAATAGAAAAAATTCATGATTACCCTTCACCCAGATTCCCCAAATGTTAAGTTTACCACATTTGCTTTATCCTTCTTTCTCTTATTTACATATACATCTATATATAATTTTTTTCTGACCAGTTTGGGAGCAAGTTTCAGACACGATGCCCCTTTACCTTTAAATACTGTAGTTCGACGTGTGTTTCCTGAAAGCAAGGCCATTCTCCTCCATAAACACAGCACAATGGTCAAAATTAGGTAAATTAACATTGATACAGGATTATCTATTGGAGTCTCACCAAATTGTCCAACTAATGCCCTTTGTAATAAAAGGAAAAAAGATGTTTCATGCCCAAACCCAATCCAGGGTGAGGCATTGCATTTAGCTGCCTTTAGTTCCTTTTCACCTGGAACAGCTCCTCAGCCTTTTATTTTTGTTTTCTGACATCATTGACGTTTTTGGAATTCAAAATGTACAATGTCCCTTAATTTGGGATTCCTTGATTTTTCCTCGTGGTTAATTCAGGCTATGCCTTTTTGGCAATGCTACAAAAGTGATGCTGTATTCTCAGCATCTGGAGGCAAACGAATGTTGATTTGTTAACTTTGATCATAATATGTGGTTATGAATCTTTTAAAATTGACTGGGCGTGGTGGCTCATGCCTGTAATCCCAGCACTTCGGGAGGCCGGGGCAGGTGGATCACTTGAGGTCCCAGCCTGGCCAACATGGTCAAACCCCATTTCTACTAGCTGGGCATGGTGGCGCATGCCTGTAGTCCCAGCTACTCAGGAGGCTGAGGCAGGAGAATTGCTTGAACCCGGGAGGCGGAGGTTGTGGTGAGCCAAGAACATGCCACTGCACTCCAGTCTGGGCGAGAAAGTGAGACACTGTCTCAAAAAATAGTAATAAATAAAGTAAAAAAATAAAGTGTCATAGCACCCTGCAATGGACCCCGAGCACACAAGGCCCTTCGAGCTTGTGGGGAGTCCCTTCTTGATCTCTGTCATGTTCTAGCCACGTTCTCTGCTTCTTGACTTTGAACTTGCTATTCCCTCTGCCTAGAACACTTTTCTCTAACCACTAATCCA